CGAGTTCGTACACGGGCTAGTTATGGAAAAACCCGATTTTCTTGCCGAGCAGAAACATGTTTTCCTGTTATTTTGAGTTATACCATTTTAATGAATACTAATCTATTTTCATTCTTAATTGAGTTATTCCAATATGTGTAGCTATCATGTTTAGTCTAATACAGCATGTCTACGTGTCTTAATTATTTATGTGAATTATATGCAGCATGCTTAGTGAATTTCCTGCTTCTTCCCTGACTGGTACTTAGTCTAAATTGTAAGAATTTCGTGATGTAGTTGTCTTTCTATCACTCGCACTGCATATTTACTTTGGGACTACAGAACGGTATTCCGGGAGATTTCCCTACATATTTACTTTGGGACTACGGAACGGTATTCCGGGAGATTTCCCTGCATATTTACTTTGGGACTACGGAACAGTATTTCGGAAGATTCTCCTGTGTATTTACTTTGGGACTACGGAACGGTATTCCGGGAGATTTCCCTGCACATTTACTTTGGGACTACGGAACGGTGTTCCGGGATATTCCTCTGCACATTTACTTTGGGACTACGAAACGGTATTTCGGGAGATTCCCCTGCTCATTTACGTTTGGGACTACGAGACGGTATTTCGGGAGATTCCTTGTTATGTTTCTGTGTATTGAGTTGTTACCTTCTATGATTCCATTGTTGTTAAATTTCAGCCTTTATTTTATTGCGGTATTACACTCTATATTATTTTATTGTATAATTACCAGTAAGGCCCTGACCTGACCTCGTCACTACTCGACCGAGGTTAGACTTGGTACTTACTGGGTACCGATTGTGGTGTACTCATACTACTATCTGCACATATTTTTCTTGTGCAGATCCAGGTGCACCTTATCAGCCGCATTATCAGTGAGCCGGGACAGCTTTGGAGACTTCAAGGTATATCTGCCGCGTCCGCAGACCTCGGAGTCCCTTTCTACTCTTTCTCATGTCCATTATCTTCTGTATCTTCCTTGTTAGAATTCTTATGTATAGAGATACTAGATTTTTCCTTCTGTAGGTTGTGATTCACGATGTTCCGGGTTTTGGGATTTGTTGTGTATTTTTGAACAATTAGGTGTTAAAATTTTGTTTTCATTTTATTATTTCGCGAATGTTAGGCTTACCTAGTCATAGAGACTAGGTGCCGTCACGGCGTTATACGAAAGGAAAATTTGGGTCGTGACAATATGACCTCCCAATACTGGTAGTACTGAATCACGAACTTTAACTGAATACATAGAATGATCACGAGGACCGAATATACAATACTGTTTGATTAAAAATTAACAGTACAATGAAATGAAAAGACTCCAAGGGACTGCGACTACCAAGCAGCTCTATCTTGAGTCCTCACGATCTCGCTTTAACTGTGCTCAAGTCCGATATCTCCAATACCTGGCTCTGCACAAAAATATACAGAAGTATAGTATGAGTACACCACGGTCGGTATCCAGTAAGTATCAAGACTAACCTCAGTGGAGTAGAGACGAGATACAGTCAAGACACTCACTAGTCTAATAGCCTGTGCAATATAATATACAAAATAATAGGAAGCAAATAACAATAAGGGCAACATAAAAACAACCAGTGATATGCATAGCAAGATAACAAGAACACCATTAATAAAATACATTTACACCCAATTAAATCAAGTCCTTCAAATAAATGTTTTTCATATATAATTCTTCCAAATAACTCTCTTTTAAATATAATTTTCTCAAATAATTATCTTTCAAATATAATTCTTTCAATAAATCTATTCAAATATAATTTTCTCAAATAATTATCTTTCATATAATACTTTCTAAATAAAATTCCTTCCAAACAAATATTTTGAATATAGTTCTTTCAATTAATAAGTCACCATGTGACACCTCCTTTCATAATCATAAAAATACGGGTCTCAGCCCATTTTCACATTTTTCGTAAACACGGGCCTCAGGCCATTTTTTCATATTTCCACGACACCTCGTGCCCATAATTTAATCATCATATTTCCCCAGCATCCCGTGCCCCCATTTCATATCACAACTGCACGGAAAATGCACGTGTCAATATCATCATTATTTACTCACGACACCTCGTGCCTACATTTCATATCATAATCTGCCTGGCAATGGCCACAGACCCCAATTTCAACATAAATCAGACTATTACCAATTTACCAACAACAAGACCAATTGCACAAGATATAAAAATAAACACAATGAAAATCACAACATCACATAAAAATTTTCAACGCAACAACCCTACATCATCACATATCATCCCTGACAATAGCCACCCTTATCACTCCTATAATAGCCTCCCTTATCCTTCCGCCCTTATCCCTCCTATAGCCACCCTTATCGCTCCGCCCAAACAATACCCCAACACACATAACAACAGTGAAATGCCTCCATTATGCCCACATAATATCAACAGTGAGATGCCACCCTTATATCCTTAAAATGATAACTCAATTAACACAACAATTTACACAGAATATTATTACGGCAACGTAACAAAAATTAATTCATATCACAATTTGCACAACGGCCACCACTAATTCCAAGGATATAACAAAATCAATTAATTTCACAACAAATAGCCCAAGGCTCCACACAATGTATATAAAACCTCAAAAATAATCAACAGAGATAAAAACAATAATCAACATAGGGCACACCTTCATTAATCTAAATTTAGATAATTATATTAATACTTCTTCTTAAGCTTGCTTAATTAATTATTTGCATAGGAAAAATTTATAATGAAATCAAATTCCAAGAAATATCAAACCATCAAACTCACGGAAATCACATAACTATACAAGTAATAATTACATCGAATTGTCACATAAAAACAAGTTCAATAATTGTGATTTGAAGCATGGCAATTAGATGATTAAATATATACCAATAATTATTCAATTTACTACACAATATGCCCCAGACTTTAACTCAATAAATTTTGCACATATAAGCCCGAGTACGTACTCGTCACCTCGCGTACACGGCTTTTCACATTTCACAAATGGCATATAAGACTCGATGCCTAAGGGGTAATTCCCCCACTCGAGGTTAAGCAAGACACTTACCTTTTTGAAGTTAGGCCGATATTCCAAAATAGTCTTCTTGCTTGAATTGACCTCCGGACAGCTCAAATCTATCCAAATTAATTGTATAACTTCATTAAAATTCATCGAAAATAATTCTGGATAATAAAACGTCAACTTGAAAATTTATTCTAAAAAGTCAACAAAAGTCAACGCGGGGTCCGCCTCTCAAAACCCAACATAATTTTCATGAAATCCGAATATCCATTCCGATATGAGTTCAACCATACCGATTTTATCAAATTCCGATAAAAACTCGACCTCCAAATCTTAAATTTTTATTTTTGGAATATTTTGCAAAAATCTTGATTTTTCTTCCATAAATTCACGGATTCATGATGTAAATGAGTATGAAATCATGAAATATAATCAATATAGGACAAGGAACACTTACCCCAATATTTTCCCGTGAAAATTACCCAAAAATCACCCAAGAACCGTGCTCCAAAAATTCAAAATGAAATGAAGGAAATGACCATTTTTGGTCCTTAAGTTTCTGCCCATCCATCACTAAAAGTCCATTTTTCGTCACTAAAAGTCCACACCAGAACTTGCTTGCACCAACCTTTATTCAATTGATCATAATTTTATATACAAATGTCCAAATGATGAATGGTTTAACTTTCTAGAAACTAAAATCAAAAGACTACAACTTTCATGTTTTGATAATTTTTTGATTGAGATATAAGCTTCCAAAGTCGGCTCCATGCATCAGAAATTTCAGGCAAAACTGCTCTACTAGCCTTCATTCAATCCATCATAACTTTATGTACAAATGTCCAAATAATGAATGGTTTAACTTTCTGAAAACTAGAATTAAAAGGATACAACTTTGACGTTTTATAAAATTTCTGATTCCTTATATATTGTGAGATATAAGTTTCCAAAGTTGGCTCCACGCACCAGATATTTCTGGCGAACAGCTCTGCAAAAGAAATTTCCAGCAACCCTCTTTGTTCGAAATCCATTCCGTTTACCTTCCGAAATCCACCCGAGGCCCTCAAAACCTTAACCAATTATACCAACATGTCCCAAAATACAATACGAACTTAGTTGAGGCTTCAAATTATATCAAACAACATCAAAACGACGAATCGCACTTCAAATCAAAATCTATGAACTTTGAACTTTCAAATTCTATATCTTGTAACGAAACATATCAAATCAATCCGAAATGATTTTAAATTTCGCACACAAGTGATAATTGACATAACGAAGATATTCTAATTTTCAGAATCGGATTCTGACCCCGATATCAAAAAGTCAATCCCCCGGTCAAACGTCTCAAAAATTCATCTTTCGCCATTTCAAACTTAATTCCACTACAGACCTCCAAATAATTTTTCGGACACGCTTCTAAGTCTATAATAACCGTACAGAGCTATTTACATCATCAAAATTTTATTCCGGAGTCGTTTGCTCAAAAGTCGACTCTCCGGTCAACTCTTTGCTCAAAAGGATTGTTCTTTTAATTTAATTTCGAATCTCCGGTTATTCAAACTCGATCACACCCGCGGGTCATAATACATATTATGAAGCTACTCGAGACCTTAAGTCACTGAACGGGGCGTTAATTCTTAAAACGACAAGTCGGGCCGTTACATATAAAGTGTGATTATAAATACATAGGTATATACTTGTCGTTCATGACTCATTAGGCATCTTGAGTTAAAAATAAACATTAGGTTACATAAATTTTGAGAATGCAAATTCAACAAGTTTCAACATGGTTGGGTTCTCCACATTAAAGAAATTTGTTTTTTTTGGTAAGTTACTACTCCAGGTGCAAGGAAACAGTGCCCAAACAACAAAGTTCAAGCTCAAACAAATTTTTAATTATTAATTACCTAGTTTATTTATGTCATTAGACCATAGTCTTGTGCTCTGGTCAATGAGTGAACTCGAAATCAACATGCACAAAAGCTCTCTCAACATCAGGAAGCTGCTCTAAATTTTCTTGCAATGTTTCACCAATATTATGTGCTTGGCTTAGAAGCATGTCCTCTGGCAAAACTATATCAACTTCCACAAAGTAATTTGCACCAAATGTGTATGCTCTCACAGTATCAATGTGCTTGATTTCTTTGTGATGATTCCATATAAGATATGTCAATTTCGCCAGAAATTCTGGTGGAGCTATTCTTCCAATGAGTGATCGCATGTTTTCGATTACTATCTTTGCCAACGTACCAATTGTGTATAGTGCTATCTGCAAATACATAATGTTATCGTTAATAATAATGGAAAATTTGGAGGGATGTCTTTGAAATTTTCTACTCATTTTATTTGCTCAATCATTTAGTGATAGTCGTCCACCACAATTGGTTTAGCACCTTTTGACTAGACATGAAATTCAAGAAATAAAAGAGACAGATGTTAAATATGCTTAATAAGTCAGAAATAACATATATACATAAAGGTGTCAATCTTGATATAAAAATATAAATGTTTGGAGATTCTAAAGTTATAAAGATGTCAATCTTTTAGGACAAAAGAAAAAAAGGAAATAGTGCCTAGTAAATTGAGACAAGTGTGTGCACGTGCACCCAAGAGTATGACCTAGTGGTCAATAAAATTGGTATAAAGGTTGAAATTATGATTCCATTTATAGTGGAGACAAAAAATACAAGTTATTCCCACAAGCCAAAGCCTTGGGGAGTAACAAGGTGTCTGGTAAATTTTTTAGTGAGAGATAACAGGTACTAAGTGAAATAGTTGATGTGAACACCACTATATTTGCGCAAGTTGTCTTCGTGTGACCTAAGAGTCACAGGTTCGAACTGTGAAAGCAGTTATTAATGCTTGGATTAGGATAAGATATCTATATCATACCTCTTAGGTGCGGCTTTTTCCTGAACCATATATGAATGGGGAATACTTTATGCATCGAGATGCCTTTTAAGAAAATAGATAAAAATAAAAGAAGTATAAGTGATGATTGCGAACTCACCAATATAATCCAAATGACAAATGGTTTTACTTTCTGAAAACTAGACACAAAGGGCTACAACTTTCATTTTTGGATCATCTCCAAATTTCTTATAGATTGCGAGATATGAGCCTCCAAAGTCAGACTATTGCAACAGAGATTTCCTTCTTCGCGAACGCGAAGAACAAAGTCCCAGCAGCAAAATTCTTCTTCGCGAACGCGAGAGGCTCCTCACGAACGCGAAGAACAACACCAGAACCAGCAACCAGCACCATCAAAACACCCAAACTTGGTCCGAAACCACCCCGAATCAAACTCGAGGCCCCCGGGACCCTGTCCAATCATACCAACCAGTCACAATACATAACACGAACCTGCTCGAGGCCTCAAATCACATAAAACAACATCAAAATCACGAATGGCACCTCAAATCCAAATCTATGAACTTTAAACTTTCAAATTCTATATCTTGTGGCGAAACACATCAAATCAATTCGGAATGACTTCAATTTTTTCACACAAGTTATAAATGACATAACGGGCCTATTCCAATTTCCAGAATCGGATTTCGACCTCGATATCAAAAAGTCAACCCCCCGATCAAACTTTCCAAAAATTCAACTTTCGGCATTTCAAGCCTAATTCCACTACGGACCTCCAAATAATTTTTCGGACATGCTCCTAAGTCCAAAATTACCATACAGAGCTATTGACATCATCAAAATTCTATTCCGGAGTTGTTTGTTCAAAAGTCAACTCTCCGGTCAACTCTTTCCATTTAAGCTTCTAATTAAGGATTGTTTCTTTTAATTAATTCTGAATCTTCCAAAAAATCAAACTCGACCACACCCGCGGGTCATAATACTTATTACAAAGTTTCTCGAGACCTTAAGTCGCTGAATGAGGCATTAATTCTTAAAACGACAAGTCGGGTCGTTATATTTAGGCTCTTGAATTAGGCCGATACGGCCATAGAAAAAGAATGGCTTCCCCCCTTTTTGGCTTGAAAAGTTTATTATTTAATCATATAAAATCTGTTGTACCTTAGCATGAGATAAGGGATTTGCTCCAGAGTTCGAACGATTTCGTACCCATTAGGGTTTTCGAGGGTCGATATTATCGAGACCCTTTGTTTCCTAATGCCTTAGTATAAGATAAATAATTTGTTCGATAGTTCGAATGAATTTGTACCCATTAGGGTTTTCGAGGATTGACATTATCGAGACCCTTAGTAATTCAGCCGAGGGTAGCCTTTTTAACCGATTTTTGAAAATATCGAAGGCCTATTTTATAACGGAAATCGGACGTCTCCGAACCGTGTTAATTTGGCCGTAGCCTTTAGCTTGGGATTCACCTTTTGGGCTTGTTCCCCTATTAAACTTCGAACTTGTTCGAAGTATCAGTCCTAGAGTGGGGTGGCCATGGCTTATAAAATCAAGGATTGCCTTTTTAAGGTCTTACGATTTTGAGGTTTAGTAATTCGATCATGTCGATTTTTTGGATGGCAGTCCTCGAGTATAGTGTAAATTGTTTGAACTTCAGTTGTGACCGGCCCTTAAGCTAGTTTCCACAATAAATCACAAGCACGACATTGTAAAGTAAACAATTTCTCTAAGGCATGAAATATCTAGGGCTAACATGCATACATGTTTTCCATTAGGGCTCGAGTAATCTACATGGTCATGGTTCGTTCGACCGTTTGACCCTTACAAAATTTACCAATCGAGACCATGTTGGCACGAAGTATTTTCCTTGTAACTATCCAAGGGTGATGCCCTCCAGTATTCGAGGTTGATTGTAAAGGAGCCTCAGATACTGTTTAATTGCTCTAAGTTAGCACGAACAATGGTTGCCTCGTTAAAAACCTCGCCGGAAAAACCCATTTGGGATAAAACCGGTCAAAGGAAAAAAGAGTGCAACGCGTGCTTTTAGACCTAAGGACTTTACGTTTGAAGAATCCTTTGATGTCTTCGATTAAACACCTGCAAATGGTTAGTATAAAATATAAACGAAAGTGGAGAAGGTCGTACCCTAGCAGTAATATCGTTTGAGGAGTGATATGTTCCAATTGTTTGGTAATTGTTTGCCGTTCATCGTGCCAAGCTTGTAGGATCCCTTTCTGATGATATCGAGAACCTGGTACGGTCCCTCCTAGTTCGAGCCAAGTTTTTCTTCGTTTGGGTCTCAAGTATTGAGGGTGACCTTCATCAGAACCAAGTCCCCGATTTTAAAGTGTCAAAGATTGGCTCTTCGATTGTAGTACCTTTCGATCTGCTGTTTCTGTGCGGCCATTCGAACGAGGGCGGCTTCCCGTTTTTCATCTAGCAATTCAAGGCTTGTATTCATACCCTCATAATTTGACTCTTCTGTTGTATATCAAACTATGGCGCTGGGTTCCCCGACTTCAAACGGGATCAAAGCTTCAATGCCATATACTAAAGAGAATGGTGTTGCTCCCGTACTGGATTTTGGCGTTGTTCGATATGCCCAAAGGACTTCGAGCAATATTTCTCTCTATTTTCCCTTAGCGTCGTTCAATCTTTTCTTTAGATTTTGAATGATGGTCTTGTTTGTCGATTCGGCCTGTCCGTTCCCACTAGGATGATATGGCATTGACAGGATCCTTTTTATTTTATGATCTTCGAGAAACTTTGTCACTTTGCTGCCGACGAATTGCTTTCCATTGTCGCATACGATCTCGGCAGGCATCCCGAATCAGCATATAATGTGGTCCCAGATGAAGTCTATGACTTTTTTCTCTCTAATTTTCTCAAAAGTCTGTGCTTCAACCCACTTAGAGAAATAGTCAGTCATAAACAAAATAAATTTAGCTTTACCTGGGGCCGATGGTAGAGGGCCGACGATACCTATTCCCCATTTCGTGAATGGCCACGGGGATAAGACTAAGTGGAGTTGCTCTACGGGTTGGTGAATCATCGGCGCATACCTTTGACATCTGTCGCACTTTTGAACAAACTCTTTTGTGTTATTTTTCATATCGGCCCAATGGTATCCTGCTCTGATGACTTTGTGAACCAATGATTCCGCACCAAAATGATTTCCGCATGTGCCCTCGTGGATTTCTTGTAGGACGTAGTCGGTATCTCCTGGTCCCAAACATATTGCCAGTGGTCCATAGAACATCCTTCTATATAGTGTTCCATCTTCAGCCAATGTGAATCGTGCGACCTTCGTATGTAGAGTCCTTGAATCCTTAGGATCCGATGGAAGCTTCCCGTTCTTTAGGTACTCGATATATTTGTTCCTCCAATCCCAGGTCAGACTTCTGGAGTTGATTTCAGCGTGGCCTTCTTCGATTACTGACCTTGAAAGTTGTACGACAGTCCCCGAGCTAATCTCGTCGTCTTTGACTGATGACCCCAGATTTGCAAGGGCATCGACCTCGCTGTTTTGTTCTCGAGGCACATGTTGTAGGGTCCATTCTTTAAACCGATGTAAAGCCACCTGTAATTTGTCCAAGTACCTCTGCATTCGATCTTCTCGAACCTCGAAGGTTCTGTTGACTTGGTTTACCACAAGCAGAGAGTCACACTTGGCCTCGATGACCTATGCTCCCAAACCTTTAGCTAGCTCGAGACCTGCAATCATGGACTCATACTCGGCCTCATTGTTAGTTAACTTGGAAGTTTGGATAGCTTGTCTAATTGTATTACCCGTGGGCGGCTTCAAAACGATGCCTAGCCTGGACCCCTTCACGTTCGAAGCGCCGTCTGTGAAGAGGGTCCATACCCCCGATGATGTACCCGACGTTAATAATAGTTCCTTTTCGACCTCGGGTACGAGGGCTAGTATAAAGTCGGTCACGAAGTCCGCTAAGATTTGAGACTTGATGGCCGTTCGGGGTCGATACTCGATATCGTACCACTGATCTCGATGGTCCATTTTGCCAATCGGCCCGAAAGTTCGGGCTTATGCAAAATATTGCAAAGGGAATAAATAGTCACCACACAGATCGGGTGACACTCAAAATATGGTTTTAATTTCCTAGAGGCGCTTATTAGGGCAAGCGCTAATTTTTCTAAGTATGGGTACCGGGTCTCGGCCTCACCTAAAGTTTGACTAACATAGTAAATATGAAATTGCGTACCTTGCTCATCTCGAACTAGGACCCCACTTACCGTGATCTCCGAGACTGCTAAGTACAAGTAGAGTTACTCGTCCGCTTTCGGAGTATGAAGTAGTGGGGGGCTCGAGAGGTACCGCTTTAATTCTTCCAATGCTTGTTGACATTCCAGGGTCCATGCAAAATTGTTCTTCTT